GGTCTCAAAAGACAATTTTTTTATTCCGATACCAATAATTCTTGGTACTTAACAATAACAACATTAATCTTTGAAAAGGATATATCCGTTTCCTATGAAATCTAAGGAGTTCGAAGAGATGAATAATAAAATTTTAAAATGGCTCGGTAATGCGTAAATATTCAGTAACCAATTGGGGAGCTGATTACAGCTCGTTAATGCACAAATATTCTGTAACCAATCAAGAAGCTGATTATATCATGCCCAGAATTAAAATTATTTAAATAATCATGCATAATAAAATCATTTAAAAAAAGCAAAATTAAATTGTATTTTAATATTTAACAGCTATAAATAATGTTTAAAACATAAGATTAAACTTATAGATATTAAAACCTTTACTTTTAAAGCCAGGTGACGTCATTGATTACATCATACACAACATAAATTATACAAAATATCATAAAAAATAAAATTTTTATTTCAAATGAAAATGCAAAATTAAATTGATTTTTAATATTTAGAAGCCATAATATTTAAAACATGGAATTTATGGATAATAAAATGCATTATTTTCTAAATAAAAGGACAACAAAGTATCGGTTACCATAAATAACTTGTCCAGCAATGAGTTTACCATAAGTCGTATCGCTCGCCAAAAAAAAAAAAAAAAAAAAAAATCGCCAAAATCCGTCTACCAAAGTAGCACCAAGGAGGAAGTACAGAAACTAAATATTTGGCCAAAGAATATGATGCCAGTTGTAAGTTGGAAATTATACGAGGGTTGGAACTTTAATAGTTTTATAAAATTTCTATAAATATAGCATTATTTCAGTATGATAAATCTTTGCTCATTGTGGATTTCTGTGAGTACCAAGCGTATTTTTCTTGTTGACATAGAATCAGTCCAGACTTCAGTGCATTTTGAAAAGTTTTACGCAGTTTCGGTTGTTTTAACAGGTCAAAGATAATGGAAACCTTGCATCAAGGATTTTTTGTCTATTTTGAATACTTCAACCATATTTAAGATGGTGAAAAATCAGAATTCTAACAGGACTTATCGTTAATTTGTAGCTTTTTGCCATATTCACTTTAGATATGGAGCTGTTAATATACTTTGCCAACAAGTCATGATTTTCAAACACAGGCGATAATTCTTGTCATGCATTTTCATTTGAAATGAAAAATTATGGTAAGAAACATCGCCTACTAAAATATCTGAACTAAACTTTCGAGTATCCGAATTATTATGCAAGTTAATAATTAACTCTTTTTGAATAAATTATTTTATTATAAGGAGTATTTGGAATATAATCACTTTAAAATAAGGTTTAAAATAGAGAAGAAATAAAATATAAGAAAAGAATTTCGAGTCTGTGTTTCAGTATTTAGTACAAGATTTGTGAAAATTGTATTTCAGACATACAAGTGTCCGCGAACGTGAGCCACTGTATGTTAATACGAGGGTTGGAACTTTAATAGTGGCAACTATTTATTTACAAGGAATACAAAAGTGATTCATGTCACCATGTTTTACAGCCCTTCAATATAGTCGCCAGCATTGTGTACAACCCGTTTCCAACGATGTGGAAGTTGCAGAATACCTGTAGCAGCGCCTGTTTTGTTGATAGTTTGAATGGACCGGTCTACTGCCACAAGAATCTCAGGAACAGTTTGGAAGCAAGTGCCACGAAGTGGTTCCTTCATCTTAGGAATTAAGTCATAGTCACAAGGGCTTAAGATCTGGGGAGTATGCTGGATGGTAAAGCACTTCCCAGGCCCATCGCTTGAACAAATCAATCACAGCTTGCGCTGCATGTGGTCAAGCATTGTCATGCAAAATGAGAGGAGCGTTCTGCAGAAAGTGTCGCCGTTTTTTTCTCAAAGCTGATCGGAGATAGTGCTCCAAAAATGAGCAGTAATACTGCGCAGTGACGGTCTGCTGTGGGGGAACGGTATGCGTTAGGATGACACCATCACAGTCATACACGAGAATCACCATAACTTTCACATTGTTGGGGTTCTGACGAAATTTCGAACGTTGTGGTGACCTGTGATGCCGCCATTCGTTTGATTGGTGTTTCAGTTCTGGCTGGTATAATCGGGCCCAAGTCTCATCCAGCGTAATGATACTGCGTAAAAAAGCATCTCCTTCGCGCTCATAGCGCTCCAGGTGGGTTCAGGCAGCATCATATCGTACCCATTTCAGCATTTCCATCAATTGATGTGGAACCCAACGTGAAGCAATTTTTCTCATGGACAGGCATTCCTTCAGAATGTGCAGCACAGTCGTATGCGCTAATCCTGTCTGTCCGGCCAGCTGACGAATCGTTTGGCGACGATCACTGAACATTAGTGCGGCAACAGCTTGCACGTCTGCATCGCTGACACTCGGATGACCTAGCCACATCATTTCTGCCACGTTTTGGAGTCCTTCATTGAATGCTTTCACCCATCTTGCTACGGTTCTGTAAGGCAATGCAGATTCCCCGCAAGCCTCTTGAAGCCCTTGATGACACTGTCGTGCTGTACGACCTCTGGCACATTCAGTTTTTATCCAGCATCGTTGTTCTTGTTTTGAAAACATCCTGACAACACTTACTTTAGACCGCGAGCTAATACAAGGATCCATTCTTCATGTCACTCCGCATGTGCGTGACGTAGGCAGGACGAGTCTTTTTGCTGAGAGGTAAGGTAGGTATGTAGTTCACTTGTGGTATACGCGATATTCTTTGGTTTTGTTGCATAGCGTTTTTTCAGCTGTGTTGCCACTATTAAAGTTCCAACCCTTGTAGAATGAAAAGGAATTTCAATTTTGTGGCGTTTGGGGAGACCATAAAACCTAGCACAGTTAACAGGCAGTAGGTGAAATAAGTAATTTTCTAAACTGAGTTTGGAGTATATGAGAAGATTTAACAGCTGTTTTAATTTTCATGTGATCAGAAGTTGAATGATGTTTAGGAATTGATTAGTTTGGGCCTTCCAGCCATCCAGTTAACATTTGAAACTGAATCTGAGAATACCCTTCTCTTCCTTTATATTGTTATAATCCTTAATTAATCTGATTTCAGCGCTACTGCTTACCATATAGTCTCGTATTCTTTTGCAACATAAACTAATGAGCTGTAGAAAACTGCAGAGGAATTATCCTCAGGCAACAGACAAAATCGGAAGAAGTGTGCAAATGATCATTTATTTACTCAGAAAGAGTTTCACAGACAATCCCACTTGGGTTTACGTAAGCCGACATTTCTGGCCAAACTTCTTAACTTAAACAGTGTTGAACGTAAAATAAAATATAATTAAACTGGCTTAACCTCTCGCAGGATAATTTAATCATGCAAGAAGGCTCTGACTTGTAGAAGCTGGCTAATGGCTAGAAGCACTCAGTGGTACAGAATCAAATCACTGTTAAGTCAGAGTAACAACTTCACCTTCAAGCAGGCATAACACACATTCTAAAATCAACTTCCAAAACCTTCAATTAATCCTCTGAGTGGCATGACCGGCTTTATCTGGTCATGATTTTTTTCATTTGATACATATTAGCTTATAACTTAAGATAGTTTGCTTTCTTACTTACTTTAATAATGTAAATGCAATCTTAATAAATATATGTTTATGAAAATAGAGGCTAAAAGAAGTAAATATATGAATTTAACTAATAAATGCTGCATAAATACAGGTGTTCATGACAGATCCAAAAAACCCATGCAGCTCAGAGCACTTCTTTATCCCTTAATTTGACTAACCACACCCTAACTTATTAGCATTCTGGCTAAAAAGCGTTGGTCAAAAGGAAAGTTGTATTAACTAAAAATGAACTGTTAGTCAAAATAAATAAAGAAATCATCACAACCATAAATCCTTTTCTGTTTGTTTCCCACTCCATACGAAGTCATACGACCTGGCTAAGCAAAAAATGGCTTTTGTTTAGTATTATGTATTTTATGCTCTCAATGAATGTTCCTTAGAACCTTTGCTTGCTAATGACCTCAATTGCTTGAATCACCATGGTCATTGCTAAAGCTTTTAAAAAATGTTCATCTTCCCATCAAAGAAGACATTTTGCTGTTAGAAGTAACATTAATAACCGTGTGTTGTTTCCTTTTCATCCTTCTGACAGTTATAAAATTGCATAAATTCTCCAGAAGTTCAATTTTCAAAAGTGATTTTCTCGCTTATCGATAAAATCTGTGGTTTGATTTTTAAAGATTACATTTCTGACCTTTAATTCCTGGGGTATAGCATATCTTGTTAATGTGATTCAAGGTACATGGGCCAAGATATATTCAAGATACATGACTTTAAATTTATGAATCTTATCCTTAGTAATTTTGTTAACTTAATTTTTGCTGACAGATGGTGCTGTTTTCTCATTCACCTTACTCTTGTTGGGTATAAACATGAACATGGCTTACCCTTTGATTTCTTTGTTCCTCATAAAGAGGGCCCTGGGCCTCTATTGTCCTTGAAATTGATAGTGTTCTTGATTGAATCTATGCCAGGCACAAATTTGTTGCTGTGCTAATTTTGCTTTACTTTGGCCTATTTCTTTTCTGTTTTAATATCCAGTGGAATAAAAATAAAAGAGAACAAATTTCACAGTTTCATTGCGATTTGCAAACAAATTTATTCAATGCAAAAAGAAATACGAACCAAGAAAATTACCGTTGAATCACAATGGGCAGATTCATGTATACTCAAGCATAACACATGCTACTTCTATACCTGGGTTACCCGGCAAATATTTTTTCGTATTTTTTTGGTGAGGGTGTGGATAATTAGAAAATACTTTTATTTCAATAAAACTGTTTTTTTTTTTAATCAATCTTTTTATCTGTATTCTGTTTTTTTAATAGGAATTTAGAAATTATAATTGCTATAGCACATTGTGTGATGTATTCACATGTGCATATTGTGTAATTATATATATAATTCTTAACTCTTAAATTCAGTTCTTAATGTATATGGCTCAGCTGTATGTTACTGTATACACATATAGTGCCTTTCTTTTACAGAATTCATTGCGGCAAAAAAGGAGTCCAAATTTATCAAGGAATTATCACAACATATACACCAGAGACGCACAACAGTATACTTCATATTCAACAAAAGAAACCTCTTCAGAAAAGCGTGCATGTTCACTTTATATTCAAACAGATACATTTTTATGGGACCATATAAGAAATTATGAACTTTCAGATACAAATATTAGAGAAGAAATCACTTCTTTAGTATCACAGCATATAAAAGCTGTGAATCATATTTATGAAAATACAGATTTTGATGGCTTTCGAGGTATTAAATTTGTTGTTCAGAGGATAAAGGTAAATAATTTAGTTAATTAGTAATGAATAGTAATTTTAGTGTTTAATGCTTGTTATGCCATATATTTTATTCAGGATATTTTTAATGTAACAAAGCACAATAGAGGACCCATTAATCCGAGTTGAAGAATTAGGAACCATTTTAGGCTATATATATTTTTAATAACTTATGGGAACTATTATCAGTAGCTAAAGATAGCAATATATATATTTATATATAAAGCATGTACTGCAAGACATGTTATGTATCCATGTTATTGAAAACAATGAATCATTTCCATTTAATACTTATTAACAACCGTGTATCATTTTTTGGTGAGTAGTTTTATCAGCTAATCCATATTTATTGTTTTTGTTGAGTAAAACTTAAAGAAATCTTAATCAATAAAATAATATTTATTTTAAATTTATTCTTTTCTTTTCTTTTCTTTTCTTTCTTTTTCTTTCTTTCTTTTTTTTTTTAATTTATTATATTCTTGGCCAGTGCATTTAGTTCCCAAATGTTATTCCTCAGTCTATAATTTGATGTGAAACATTCTCAAATGTGTATGTGATGCTGCTTTAAAAAAGGAAGTAGCTGTTTTTGTTGTAAATAAGTTTATAATGAAATTTTGTTTGAAATATGTAATAAATTTAAATATTATTGGACCCAAATTTTCTTGTAAAAATGTAATAGTATTTTTATACCTAGATAATACTTTTTTACCTAATTTCAACTAATGTTTATGTTTTGATAGGATTAGTAAGTTGAAAAATTTTGATTGTTTTGTCAAACATAAAGAATACATAAATTACCATTTATCTCAAGTTTTTGGACCTACTGAAGCAATTTGTTACCATGGATAACCTTACAGTTGCTGTTAATTTTTAGAGTTTAAAAAAAGTGTTTATTAAATTATGATGATTTGTTATTCATGGTTTGGTTCAGATCTGTGTTATATGTTTGAAATAATTAGTTTTACTTCTTTCTTTGCCTTTGCAAAGGATAATAAAAGCCAACCAATTTCCATCATTTTCTTCAAATTATATATGTATCTATACGTAAAATATAAAATACGAAAGATAATCATTAGCAAAATTTTGACCACAGACCTTTAAATTTCTGATATAAAATATAATTCAATCCCTTTCACATCTGCACTGATGCCTGCATTGCATTTTCAGTAGATGTTAGAACTTCTGCACTTGTAAATAAACAAGCACATTTATTTGAATTTGGTAGCTACTTTTATAAAATTTCAGTTGGAGTTGAGAAAGGATCATACCGGCTGTCTGTGATGATGTGGTATTGGTAGAAGATTGAAGAGAAACCAATTCACTTTTTAATCACAGCTAACTTTGGAGGTGATAGCTGTAATGGATGACCAGTGGTAACATAGATGGGCAAATTTGAGATGCTTACTACGTAGAATGAAATGACAGACTTGCAGACAGATATTGCCAAATGCAATATAATTTTATTATTGGAAGCATTTCTGGAAGCACAATGTATGCTTCACACATGATTATGGTTGCAATAGGCTTCCCACAATTTTGTACAAATAAGCGAAGACATATCAGTTATTCAAGACACAGCAAAAGAGGCTGCTCAGAACTCAGCTTAAATATTTATAGTTCAGAAATTCATGTTTGAGTTCTGGATAGCAATAAGGTAAGAGTTTTTGCAATAGTGAGAAATGATGGAGCAATATGCATTCTTAAGGGGAGGTGTTTAATTAAATTGAGAGTTTATTAAATTATGTTTATATTATGCTCTATATGCAAATTTATCTTTCCTATTTTATATTTTTTATACATTTAATTTGCTGTAACTATTCCCCCTCCTCTTTTTTTTTTTTTTTTGTTGTGTGTGTGTGTGTGTGTGTGTGTGTGTGAAGAGTGTGATAAGCACAAAACATTGAAAATTAAACAACCAACCATTAAACAACATTGGCATATTGTAAACATATGCCACTGTGCTGCTCTTAAAATTTTTGAGGTTTTGCTGTTGAATTGTATATGGCATAAGTGAGAAGAAAATGATGCTTCATAATAAAGCTAAAAAAAGGGGGGTTAGCAGGAATGAGTGCTAAAGTGGTAGACTGCGAGCTCAGCGAGAGCATAAAAAACTCAATAAACTATTTTAAATGACCATTGAAATCTGAAACCTTTCGGGTTTTTTTTTTTTTTTTTTTTTTTTTTAATTTAAATATTTCTCTTTGTTTCACTTTTTGTGAGCTGATCTCTCTTCATTTTTGCTTCTAAGCCTTCATATATATTTTTTATCATGCTGATCAGGAAGGACACTATATTATGATTTGACATTAATTTTATTTATTAGGTTTAAATTGAAATCTGAAAACTTTCAGTTTTTTTAAAAACTTTTTTCTCTTTGTTTCACTTTCGATGAGCTGATATCTCTTCATTTTTGCTTATAAGCCTTCATGTATTTTTTTATTTCATGCTGATCAGGAAGGAGAGACTATGATTTGATATTATTTGTTAGGTTTAGCTTCTGTTTTATGTATATGTCATGATGCACAAAAATTAAGTACAGGGTAGGCTTTAACATACAGTGGTGCACAGTTATGTATCAGGCCAGTGAAAATCATACTGTAACACTGTTAATACGTAACATTATGGGAAAAGTGAACACTGACTGAGGTGGAATCCAGAAGGTACAAAGGATATCTATTCAGAACTGGGTTCTAAGACCAGAGCAGAAAATGTGACGGACAACAAGTAAAAAAGCCATGCTCTATGATCATCCTTGAATGTGAAGTGGGATGTTTGCTGTCTGTTCTTGTTCAGCATCAGGTTATCAGTGAGGGAATATGCCCCCCCTTTTTTTGATGGTACATACAGCAGCTGTGTAATCATAGCTTGTTATGTGCTTTGGGTGTCTCTCAAGAATGTCCCATATGTGTTCGATTGATTTTAGATTTGGGGAATGTGTGGAACATTGATACTGTGAACATCGTAAATTTTCAACAGCTCCACTGTAATTGCAGTATTGTAAGATGTAAACAATATATATATGAAGAAGGAGTGCAATAATGATTGCCAATGAATAAAATTCCTTAAAAGATTTGGAGCTTCAAATGGTATGCGAGCATTATATCTCCTCAAATGTGAAGTCAACAGTCTTTTTGTGCCTTTCAATGATGTTAGTGAGGTGATTGTATGTTTTTCATTCTTTCTAGATGTCTAATTGTCTAGATATGTTAAAGGCTAAATCAGCTTTCATTCATTAAGTACATTTGACCCTCATTGGTGAGCTTCTGATCCTTATGTTATTGTCGTTCAGAAGATTTCTTCTATAGTGGGTAGGCATCAATGGCACACACCATACTGATTGCTGGGTGAACATATCATATGTGGAAATCTGGCCATTATAGAGTGCAATATTTGGCAATTAGTAGCACATTACATGCATGTGATGATTTCACCTTCTTTCTTTTCTACAGGACAGGATACTGGTTTATGGTTGCTGTAGATGCTCACTGCTGACCACTATTAAACTTTTGAACAACTGTTTGTATCATTAAAAATACTGTCCAAGCTTGTGATATGCTCTGCATGATCATTAACTTCTTGGCCATATCAGTCATATTTGGACTATTATTCCAATTTTCTAGCCTAAAATTGTGTGAAACAGCTAATGAATATTTTTCAAGCCAAAATGCTTGCTTGTTAAACATATCACACTGTAACAGCTACTCAATATTATTCAAACCAACTGCTGAAATGCTGAGCATATAAAACTATTGCATATATATGGGCATCCTCTACTGGACACCTTCATCCTACATAATATGCATGCTGTACTATACCCTAAGTGTTTTTCATGGTTCTACTTAATGTTCTGCTGTTAAGTTGTCCTCATCATTCTTTAATTTTTTTTACACCATTATATATTTAATGCAAGCATTGTAAAAAATATGTGTGCATATAATTTTAAACCATTTTTTAGTATATATATAATAGATTATTTTGGAAATAGCTGTAATGGACTGAGGATGTTTTCTTGCATTGTCATGTAAGTTGGAAAAGGTTAGCGGGAGTGAGTGCCAGATGGAATGATGGACTTGCAGACAGACCGCATTAAGCATAATTTTATTATTGGGTAAAGGATGCAATATTTGACTCGCTCACCATTATGAAGGCAGTCTAAAAATAGCACATTTTTAGACAGTGGATGATACAGAGAAATGAGTTACGCATGTTAGTATGAGTGTACCAAAGCAAGCGAAATGGGCTACTCGTTCAGAAGAAAGATGAGATACAGAGTTGAAATTTCAGCTCTCGAAGAAATGATTGGCTGTAACATATCTACATTCACTTAAGATGGCATGATGCAGATTAATTTTGAAATGACTCACTTTAAATTGATATATCATTAACTGTTACTATTTTTAGGATAGAAAGGGGAAATATCCAAATTAAACTTAAAAAATATAAGAGGACTATTGCCAATTAAAATTATAAGTTTGCTATATTTTTTTAAATCTTTTTTATACACACGCACACAAATAATACATTTTACTTGAAATTTGAGGTCTAAGGCTTTGATCCTTTGTACATATTATTAGAAACTTGTTATTGCATTAAAATATGAATCACTTAACTACATAGAAAAATTAGAATATAATTTACAAATTATAACCATATCTTTGAAAAGGCTGTTCAGTACAATTGCAGAAACTTGTAGTCATTTGTGAGGTATCTGGAACCAGGAGTTATGATAGGAGCCAAAAGTGGTAATAACTTGCATTAAATGTCTTCCTATGCCTCTTTGTTTCTACCTTGACTGAATCTTTCGGATGTAGCACAAGGCTTAACAATTTCCTTCCTGCCCTGATGTTTTCATTATACAGTAGAATATGCTATGGAAATGCAGGCTGAGTGATAATGAATTCAAAATTCAACACTACAGATGAATTTGATGATATTTCAGAATTGATGGACTTTATACTTTGAAAAACTTTGTATTGCAGGTGACAGGAAGATATGGCCTCTACAAAAATAAAAAGATGCTGCTGTGCTTTTAATGAAAGTAGTTTGTAGTGATATTGCTGTAGCTCCCAGTTCTGATTAAAACATACATATTAACTTTCATTGTAATGTCAAAGAAATTGCCTTATGGTTTTATTTGAGTAAATTAGAGTTTGTGCATATTTCAGAGAATATACATTTCTTTATTTTAGCGTGGTGTAAAAATAGCATAGTTTTTATATTAATTTTAAGGAATATGCATTTTATTTTAGCATGATGTAAAACATTGAAAAGTATGTTAAACATATTTAGGTGAAAGAGACAAAGCATGCAGATTAGTAATTTTAATATCATCCTGATGATATCTCATCACAATATATGAAAAAATTTTTAAATTTAAATATGTGTTGATGTCATTTCATAATTTTATGTTATGAGAAATTTTACCGAATTTTCAATGTAAGAACATGTACATTAAATTCAAATTTTTCAAGTTTACTATTATGTGAGCTTCTGCTTTTAAACTGATTTCTTATTCCTTAAAATTATGAAGTAATTGTTGGTAATATAGCCAGTCATTGGTTAGCTATGAAAATTTTAACACTTGATATTATAAAAAATATCTTCTTAAATGTTTTAATTTTTGCAGAAACAGAAAATACACGGTTTAATTATAAAAACGTTTAAAACCACTTAAAAATTTAAAAGTAGAAAAAATGCAAATTTCTCAGAAATTACATAAAATGATGAGTAAATTTAAGTAAGCAGAACAATTTATGCCTGAAGCAGAGAAACATTTTATTTTCTTTTCAACTGACATGAGCTGAGCAGTGGTTAAAAAAGGAAATTAAAAGTTTCGAATTAAATTCTTTTCCATTTAAGGAGATTATTCCTAAATCTGAAATATGCTACATATTCAAATGAGATCTCGTGGGAATATGGTTCATTGAGCTAAAAGCTCATTCAACTTCAGCACTTCTGATTGCGATAGTCTCCATAAATGACTTGAGCTTTGTATATACTACTGGGAATGTTTTTGTACAATTTTCTTGCTCAAGCCATTTTAATGAAATCCTAGAAATCATTTAATTTTATTTAATGCTTTATTATGAAATTTGGTTTGTATCTTTTTTGTCTCCTTCTGGCATATGGACATGTTACATTTTCCATGTTTCTACACTTCATCCCATTGTCTTGATATTAAACAATTTGGTATCCATAATAAATTTATTTAAAATAGGCAACTGTTTCTCGTACCTGTTTAAATTTTTTATTATCTTTGATGTGTGTGACAGAAATTAAATCGGACAAGATCTTAATTCTCAGAAAGATGAAGGCTTTATATTAGATAAAACTTGATATGGAAAACATGTGTTTTTCTTCTAATAAATAAACAAGCAAACAAAGAATGAGAGCTTCTCATATTAGCAAGAAATTTAATAAATTTCTCGCGTGAGCCCCCTACTGGATATAACAAACCTTTTCTCTTTAAATGTAGTTTTTTATTTATTTTGTTTCTAAATTTAAGAGTATTATATAGTCATAAGTATTTTTTACAGATTATATTTCATATCTCATGTAAATAATAAAAGAATAATACCGATTAATTATTTTTCAGATAAATGATTCTAGAGTTTGCGACTCGCGTATGAAGCGGGCCAATCCATTCTGCTCACCAAACATAGATGTTTCAAATTTTTTGAATTTAAATTCTCAGTTCAATCATGATGATTTTTGCCTCGCTTACATTTTCACATATAGGGACTTTTCTGGAGGTACATTAGGATTAGCATGGGTTGCATCTGCATCAGGTAACTACTTATTTTCTATGCCTGTTGTTCATAGGTAAATTTTTTGTTCATATCTTGAAAGTAGTACAGTCAAAAGTCGTTAATTAATTCTGCAAAGCATGCGCCGCGTTGACACATGCGCATAGGCGTATACGCGTGCGTGTAACACCTTTACGACTGCGCATATGCATGTGCGCAAGCGCAGACTACGTTTTCGCGTGCGCATTTAATGTATAACGAACGGTATAAGCTAAAATTATCTAATTATTTATTTCAGTTAATGTTGATGATTGCGTTGTTCCTTAATCTTCGAATTGGATGCGGCTTATTATTTTTTGCAGACTGTAAGAGCAATTTTATAAAAGTAAACTTGAACTTTCGATTATGTCAAATAGAATTTCCGATGCTGGAGCTCCCAAAGGATCTACAAAACGAAAGTATGTTTCGATGTCCATCAAACAAAAAGTGGAATTGCTGCAAAAAATGGATAAAGACATGAAGAAGGTGACAGAGAGGCTAGTGAAAACGAAAAAATTTCGATTGACAAGTTAGTCGGTATTCTCGGCACAGCAATTACGGGATTTGAACAGCGGAACTTTGTAACTGAACAAGAAATTATGTCTGTTTATAGAATTAAAGAGAAAGTATTATCACATAAAACGAAGCAACTTAAACAACTTACATTGAAAGAAATGTTTAATAAAGTAAACAAATAAATATTGAGGTTTTTTTTTTTTTTTTTTTTTTTTTTTTTTGTAAATTTTGATACCCTTTAGGTCATAATTGTTCTTTATTTCATAAATTACAGTTTCATATTTTTAATTTTAGAATTTCTGCATGCCATCTTACGAGTTTTAAACTGATGACCTATAATCCGCAAAAATCGATAATCCGGAATCGCTGAAGTCCCGATGAGTCTGGATTAATGACTTTTGACTGTATATAATAATAATATGTGTGGGTTTAATTGTTCTTTAACAAACATGCATACACACATAGTCCTCAGATGGTACTGTCGTTGGGTCTCTGCATATGTTTGGTTCTCTTTCAGAGGGGCTAAAAAAGCATGGCAGGGTGCGTAACGAAAAATTACCTTTAAATTGTAGTTGATTGAAATTAGTTTAATTTGTATTTATATTAACTCTTTGTGCTGGAGTCTTTTTTTTTTTTTTTTCACTCAAGCGAACCAGCAACTTGAGATGATTTTCCATGCATTTGGTGAATTTTCCACACCTAATTTTAAATGATTTTACAAATATCTAATGGTTCTTTTATGTTGGAAGATGCTTATGGTCATTTGGCTCTTTTGCCGGGTACATGTAGTGGTCTTTGCTCAATCTTTGTGCTTTTCTTCAGATTCTATGCACATTATCCTTTCTGAATGTTCTGTCTGTTCTGTGGAATCACTGTCACTTTCACATTCACTTTCTATTACTGTAATATTTCACCTTCTTACACCTCTTACTTCATCCCTTTCTTCATCTCTATCATCAAGAAATATATGCTTAGACCTAATTTTATTCTTCATTGAAAAAAAATTGAACTCATCTTTGCTCGAACTGATTCCTTCATTGTATTCCATGCTTATTGGGCTCCGTAACTCCGAAAATAATATTCCTGTTGCCATGACTGTCGAGTTAGAAATAGTGTAGGAGACGCATATATAACTGTAAATCTAAAAAACATATTTAAAAGTAAAGATTGGCAGTTGTTTTATATGCATGTATATTGACAGTTGTTTATATGCATGTATTGTTGAATACATTCATAAAGCGATATTGCCCCAAACTAACCAAAATAAACATATTTCCCGCTCATAAACCGAGTGGTAATTGAGAATCATTCCTTATGTTACTGCATCAAATCAAATGGTGATTGAGAATAATTTCTTAGGTTACTGCATCAAATGAAGTGGTGACTGAGAGTCACTTCTCAAGTGCAAAGGGTTAATCAATTTAGTTAATAGAAGAAAATTTTTATTTGTTTCAGATATTTAAAGGCTGTTAGTGTTTGTATAATCTTATAAATTAAAATTAAATAAATGGTGGTATTCACATTAATGACATGGATAAGGCTGCCAATTTTTTTTTTTTTTTTTTTTTTTTCATCATTTCCATGTTTGGATATATGCCTGTAAGCTGAAGTCTGAGATTGGCAGATGCTTCAAGTCAATTTTGGCTCTTTGTTATTCATCCAAGTTAATGAAAAAAAAAAAAAAAAAAAAAAAAAAACTTTCTTACTTTGCTTAGAAGCAAAGTAAATTACAATATTTTATACAGCTCACTGTTTTACATTTTAAACTAGTAAAGAGGTCCGGCAATTAACTATCTTCTGCTTGAATTTCATTTTTTGTGTAGTGACATTAGGGAGTAAAAAAAAAAACTGTTCTCGTTTATTCACTGACAATTTGTTATTTTCAAAATTGTAATGGGGAGGATCGAGAATACATGAAAATTTGTTATACTTATGTTACCACTTACAAAATGAGTTTCAAATTCTGACCTCAGCATTTGAAGATGCAAGCATATGTCATTACATAATTCTTTTTAGAATTATATAACATTGTAACTTTTTTTTTTTTTTTTGTACAAAGATAAGATTCGGAAATTGGAAATGATAAAAAATTTCTCTGCTTTACACAGTTAACCAAGTTTCCTTTTAAAGGCAATGGAAACAGTTAACGAATTAGATAGATAGAAGATCGAAGAACAGATAGAAGTTTAATTCACTTAGTTTGCGAATATACCTGAAAGATATGTCAGTATACTTAGCTATATGTTATCAGCAAGAAATGATGTGAGATCTTGTTAATTTCATTTATAAATAACAGGATTTTTTGCAAATCTAGGAGGAACCACCAGTTATCCACATACTCTAGTTTGAGAAACACAGTATAGTTAAATTAGTATAGCTAATTATTATAATTACTACTTATTTAGATTATTTGATTACCACTACAATAGTACTTGTGTTTTTTAATGTATATTCAAAGGAGAGTTGGTGATGATATTGGTAAAAAAAGTTATTAAAAATAATAAAATATTTAATAATTGATATGCTATACTATGGATATGTAGTGGTAATTTCTTTAAAAAAAAACATTATATATACCAATCTACTGTTACTTAATGAGAACTAACCTTTTAACCCTTTATCGGGCCCAGGCCATGTATTTTCAAAATTCATATTTTATGCAACTATTAGGGAAAAGTAGCTCGTTTATGACCAAAAATACTATTTTTGGAATTCTGTTGTTGTTTATAATAGGGGTGGTAACATATTTATCACCGCCCGGTATAAGCAATGGCATTTTACTGAGTTGTGCAAAAGAAAAAAATCATAATTACAAAAATATCACAAATAAACATGTATTTTTGATGAAAACTATTTATTCTTGATTATTTAAATATACATATAGTATAAAATCGATGATTAATATAAAATTCATGATATAAAATTACAGATATAAATATAACCAAATGCACTACTTCTATTGATTTGAATTTAAATTTTTATTTATAACATGAAGCAGCACAGAATGGTACATGACATGTTGAACATAACACTTTGGTACGTTTCTGATTTACTTTTATGCTGCAATATTTTCATCTTCTGTAACTTTCTCCTCTGACTGGCATGTGTGTTCTAACATTAGTTGTTCGGATTTCCCCTTGGAATAGCATTTTCCTTTTTCGCTGATACCCAGTTTGATTGCAGTTTTCGTTTTTTACTAGAGAAGCCTCCAATTAGGCTGCGAGCTACTCTCAACCTAAATTCAAGTCTTTTTCCCAGTGTAAACTTCAGACTGATATAGGTAACTAATTGATGCGTTTTATCTAGCCCAATTCTTATAAACTCTTTTTACAGGCTTCCCTGGCATATATTGCTTAATTGTTGACCTTCTTTTGAATTTTACCATTTTTTTCATCAATAGATTGAATTCTGCACATTTTTCTTGAATTTTTATATAAATGGGTGATCAAAGAATAATTAATTACTGAAATGCTAATATAAAAGTATTAGATATACAAAGAAATCAAGTACCATGCCAAACAAAACGCTATTTCTAAAGCGAAACATATTAGTAAAACTGTGTTTCTATCAGGCAATGGTAAATTATTTACCACCTCTAAAATCACTAAGCGTGCCATGGTAAATAATTTACCACCAAATTCAAATATGTATAAAACAAAATATTTCGCTTTATTTTTTAAATGCCTAATACAATTTAGCTATCAAACCTTTAAGATACAAAATATATGAATATATAGCTTTTAACGTATTTTTATATATCATTACACAATAAAATAAGAAAAGAGTACGTGCTTACCCTTTCCATTTTGCTTGTAAACTGGATGAATGCAGAAATGTTGCGTTTTACGTAGCCTCTACAGCCATCTATTACAGAAAATGTGAAGCTCTGGTTCCAGAGGAATATTCCTGATATCGGGCACTGGTAAATAATTTTCCGTATGCTGCTAGAAAACAAATTGCTTAGTGGTAAGATATTTACCACCACCTGTAAAAGGGTTAAAGTATTGCAAGTAAACATGCATCTGCATAAATTCAAGCAAATTAACTGGGAATGCATGCATTAATTCTCCATTTTCTGTATGGTAAAAATTATGCATTGAAAATGCGTAATTTTCACTAATTACTAATTAATAATGAATAATCTTGTTTTGCTTTATTTGTAATGAATAGTAAAATAGTGAATAGAAAAAAGCCTTCAGCTGATGAGAATACATTACACCTAGATTTTCTAGAGGCATTTCACATTAAAAAAAATCTTTCTGTTATAGTTAACAACCCTAATTTCAATCCATCTTTGCCTGTAAAGAAATTATGTTTTAGTCCTGGTTTCATCAACAGATGGTGCCAGTAGCTTGACAATTGTTATTGTTGACGCTTGTTCGTTCTTTCTTATCTTTTTTCATCTAATCACTATATCTTATCTCATTCATTTGCGCTTTTGCAACTGTGGATGATGGTTTGGTGAAACCATCGAAACTAGTCCTGTG